AAGGCAGGCAGATCTTTGTGAGTTCGAGGCCAGCCTGGTCTACATAGTGAGTTCCAGGACAGCTGGGGCTACAGGGAGACTCTGTCTTAAAGATTCAGTGAACTTGAAGGAATACATTAAATATACTTTATTTAAATAGCATAAAACATAGTTGGTTCTATGGGAATTGGTCCTAGGTAGAATTAGGGGTACTGAGGGAAAAGGGGATGAAGTAGAATCCAGCTTTCAGTCTCTTTCCCATGTTGCCCACGCTCCTCTGGAATTCCTGGATCAAACATTCTCCTGCCTCAGTTTCTGGAGTAGCAGAGCTACAGACACACACCACTCACTGCACTCCACTGTTTTCAGTCTCAGCTCAGAAACTCTAGCAATCCTTGTAGTTCCTTGCAACTCCTCACTACCTCTGGGATGGACTGCAGAGTCTGGGAAGAGGCAGAGAAGAGTTCAGAATCAGAAGTCTGCATCTCAAAGATCCTGGCCCAGGAGGCGGGAAAGGAGAATACAGACGCCAGACACCTACAGTAAGAAGTCAGCACAGGCTGAGAACCAGAGCTGTGCTCCTCAGTTCTTCGTGGGGCCAGGACCTGTTACCTCCCTCACACTTTTACCTCATAAATATGCTGTACAGTGTTATCTAGTTTCTTCAACTCTGTGTCAGAGCGCCGAAGGTTCTCCTCAAGGATGTTTCTCTAGAATGCAAATAGTTTTCATAAACCCTATGCTTAAAAGAACATAGCCAGGAGCGATCACACACACCTTTAATCCAGCACTTAGGAGGCAGAGGCAGGTGGATCTCTGTGAGTTCAAGGCCAGCCTGGTCTACGTAAAGAGTTCCAGGCCAGCTGGAGCTACAGGGAGACCCTGTCTTGAAAAAAAAAAGACCAATAAATAAATAATAAATAAATAAAAGAAAAGAACATAGCTTGGGAGGACAGAGGCAGTATGGCAGGATGCTTGTTTGTGGTGATGGGAATGGCCCTAGAAGAATATGGAATTCCTTACATGGCTCTGGTACTTGGCCACCAGTTTTGCTTTCTCATTTTTCATCTCCAGGAACATAAGCCTCAGCTTGTCCACCTATAAATATGTCCATATTAATAGGGGCACAGCCTGAGGTCCCCACCAGTTGCTCAGCTCCTTTGTTAACTCTGAGTCACCTCCTGAGAAAGACACACTTTCTCCTGGATCCAGTTAGTAGCCATCAGCTGACAGTTGGAGTCTAGCTGGCCTTCCAGGGCTTCCCGGAGCACTTTAGTCTCTGTCTCCGCATGCCTAAGTAAGCGTGTGAGCTGAGTCACCTCTTCTCTGAGGCTCTGGGAATGAGAGCAGAGACAGTATCCATAAGCACTCAAGGATCCTTCCTATCCTCATCACATTGGGTGGGAGAAGCAGAGGCCCCACCGTAAGTAACACTAAGGAGCATACTATGAGCTCGCCACTCTTGTCTATCTGCTCCAGGATCTTCTCATTTTGCTTCTGAATCACTTCCTGGAGCTCCTTTTCATTCTGTGAGGGGAAAGGATGTGAGAAAGCACTAAGGAAAAGCTGGCTTCTTTGAAGCCCTTGCCAGAAGGCAGCAGACTCCTGGTCCATGCTCAGGCCTGGGGACTAAGTAATTCCACTCTAATTCTTCTTTGGAGCCAAGTCAAGCAAGGCACATCTAGGAGAGCTCTGCTAGAGTTCTTGACTTCCCTCCTGGGTCTGTCTGGGAAAAGGTCAGCCCACAGCTGACACATTCTCAAATATGTCTGACCCCAAGAAGGGCAAAACTAGGGCAGTAGTCGGAAAAGCCCCACTACCTAGATTCCTAGAGAGAAAGAGAGGGCTCCCAGTGGGCCAACAGAGCTGCCCCAGTTCTTCATCGCCCCACTTTCAGGTCCCTCCTTCACCTTGTAGCGCAAGCACAAGGCCTGGTTCAGCTTCTCTATGCCTGCTTCCTTTGCTCTCTGGGCTTCCTGATGCTGTTCTTCCTGGTCCTGTAGCCTAGCCTGCAGGTCACAACTAGGGAAAGGGAGAATTCTGCATCATTCCTGTCCTCTGCCTTTGGTATGTGGGGCTGTCTCACTGCCCTTGTCATTAACACTGCTCACCACTCACATTTTTCTCTGTAAAGTCTCAATGGCTTCTTCTTTAGACTCTTGTAGCATCGAACACAGGCTCTGAAGCTCCAGCAGCATAGTACTCATGTCTGCCAGGGTCTTCTCTAGGTCTGTGGTCTCTGAAAGAGAAAGTCCTAGACAGAAGGAAGGGGTATGCAGTCATTTCCAGAACTCTTCTCTATGTTCTGCACCCACCAGATTTAAATATCCGGAACATTACAGATCCCAAAAGACAGAAATAAAATGAGCCCAAGTGGAATTGAGGTTTTTAGAGCAAAGCTCTTCTCATTGCTTTTGTCTTTACTCATTACCACCAGGTTTTCCAGAAATGAGGCAGGATCCCTGGAGCCCACCCTAACCTGTAGGCTGAAGGGAAACCATTGATGCTACTCGGGTGAAAGCACTCTTGTCGCTTCCAAGTAAGGGCACAGGAACTGGTTCTGGCTCTGAAACAAAAATAAACAATGGAGAACCAGGCATGTTCGGCTACATAGCAAATTCAAGGTCAACATAGGCTACATGAGACCCTGTTTACAAAAAAAACCCCAAAACACAGAGAGGGTCTCTCTGGTGACCCAATCAGAGGTCAGTAGAAGCTGGATAAGACAGACAAGTCTAGGGGTGGGTATCTTTACCAGCTGATATCAGGAGCAGGGTCACAAATTTCCCACCCTTAAATCCCAGGGCCCTGAACCTTCAACTGCCTCTGCTGTCGAGATGTTTTCTGAGGAGTTACTATCATTGGGTGGAGGGTGTTCCTGTGCTGGAGGACAGCCTGTGCTCAGAATGATGTCTGATTCAGCCTAAGGACAAAGGAGAAGAAAAAATAATTAGCTGCTCTTTAGGGTGAGTGATCGATCTGCTGAACTCCTAGCTACTCCTATCCTTCCAGAGTGCTTTACTATCCTCTACCTCACCATTCTATCTCTAAGTTCTTCATTAGTGCCTTTCTCTGAACAAGTTTATATTAACTCCCACTAAAACAACAAATTAAAAAAACAAAAAAAGGCCAGGCATGGTGGCATACGCCTTTAATCCCAGCACTTGGGAGGCAGAGACAGGTGGATCTCTGTGAGTTCAAGTCCAACCTGGTCTACATAGTGAGTTCCAGGACAGCTGGGGCTACAGGGAGACCCTGTCTCAAAAAGACCAAAAAAGAAAAGAAAAGAAAAAAAAAAAAAACTTTAAATCCCCTTTTAACTACTACTGTCCTTTCTTTTATTTAATAAGGAAAGAAGGAAGGAGGGAGACAAGGACAGAGGGAGGGCAGGCAGTCTACAATTCTTACTTATGAGCCTCACCATCCATTGATTCCCTAGTCATTAGACACGAGCTTCTGCCTCATTATTTCACCAACCTTCTTGTCAATTGGTACATCACAGGCATCCTTACTTTCAAATACAATGGATACTTCAGAGCTTATTTTCCTGCCCTATTTGATATGATAACCATACACTTTTGGAAACTCTTCTGGATCATGACTATCCTTCATGGATAGGCCTTTCTAGATTATTTCTTTTCCTGACCCACAGGTCTTTTCTTAATCCTTGGACTTCATGTACCCACTTAGGGGTGAGAGGGTTCAGTCCTTGGCCCTCTTTTCAAGGCTTTGCTTCTGGAGCTCCACAAAATACCCATTTCAGACTACCATTTCCACTTAAATGACTCTTCAATTTCTTTCTCTCAACTGGATTTTTCCCAGTCTCCAGGCTGAAAGACAAACTGCTTATGAAAAGTCTACCAGAACATTCCACGTTCTACATAAAAACTAGGTGTATAAAGCTAGGCTCACTGTTTTGTTTCACTCAAAAATCCATTCCTGCTTCAGTATTTACTGTTCGAGAACATAACAGGCAGTAAATTGCAGCCTCTGGGCCAAATCTGGCCTACCAACTGTTTTTGCAAGTGTTTTAGGACATAGCCACATTCATTCATTTACATACTGTCAGTGGCTGCTCTTGAGCTGCAAAAGCAGAGCTGAGCAGTGGAGACAGAAGCCATATGGCCCACAAAGCTGAAAACACTTATGATATGGCCCCTGGGTGGGAAAAGTTTGCTAACTCCAGTTCTAGAGGACAATGTCATCCCTTTCTAACAACTTAGGATCATCAGTCAGTCACTCTTCTGCTTCTATACCAAACTGGTCACCAAGTTCATGTCTACATGCTAATTTTTTTTTCCTAATTTTCATGTATAAGTGTGTGTGGTGTATATATGTGTATATGTGTGTTCACATGTGTGTGGAGACTCAAAATTGCTATCAGAACTCTTATTTGCTCTTCCACCCTATTCTATGAGGTAGGGTCTCTTAATCAAACCCAGAACTCCAGAATATAGCTAGTCTTGCTAGTCAGCTTGCTGGGAATCCCATCTCTACCCTCCAAGGCTGGAATTACAGGAAGGTCTCCATGCCCTCCACACTCAGAATGTATGTGGGTTCTAGGGAGCCAAACTCCAGTCCCCTTGCTTGCATGGCAAGCACTTTAACCACTGAGCCATCTTCCCAGCTCCACATCTGAAATATCTGTTGCATCCATTAAATACATCCCCTCCTCTGTAACTCCTCTATAGCTAGCATTATTAGTTCAGATCTTCAAAGTTTGGCCCCCAATCTACCTCTCTAGTCTTATTTACTGTGTTGCCCATTTACCTCCTATGCTCCAGTCATGAAAAACTAACTTCCCATTCCCCAAACTTGCCACATTCTTTATGAGCAAGGCCTTGCTTGTTCATCCTTGCTTGTTGACCCAGATCTTGTTGGGTTGGACACTACAAAAAAGTACACACAGGGGCTAGAGAGATCAAGAACACTGGTTGGTCTTGCAGAAGACCCGGGCTTGAATCCTAGCACCCACATGGCAGCTAATAACTGTTGGGAGCCTCTGTTATGCAAAGTCGAAGCCCCTTCACACTGGACAGCTCATGCAGCTCGGGACTATGTGCTGCGGGCTCCTTTCATAGCGAGTGTCTTCCTGGCATCTTTCCTGTCTCTCCTTTTGAAGTGTCCGCCACAAATGCCATAACATAAACATGGCCTTTGGCTCTAACAGGTACCATGCCTTCCTGTAATTTTTCCTAGCAGACAGCAGTCTGGCAGAAATCCACTTCCATGTGTAAATACAACGCCTCACAAAGCATCTAACAGCCAAAGCTTTTACCACTACCCCCATGGTATAAATGCCTTAGTCTTCTCTTAATGGTCAGAGAATTGGGCTGCAGAGAATTGGGCTGCAGAGAGCTGGATCTCAGAGAATAAAGCTGTGACACAGACTAAGCCAAGTTTTGAGTCTTGTGTCACTACCGGCGGCCCTATCTCTCCGGGGGGCGCACTTCCTCGTGACTGGCTTACGGACATTCTAGCTTTCGCTGTCCCCGTACTTCTTCCCGCAAGGCCCAAGTGGCCAGTGGACCTCGCATCATGAGGAAGAGTACACGGGTGGATTAGGGACAGGATTTGGCAGAACAACGCTTCTGCAGCAGAGAAGCTCCAGAGACAGGAGACCCGAGCTGCCGGGAAAAGCCTGCAGGGCACCCGCCGCGCGGCCAGAGACGCCTGTGGCCAGACCCGCCAGCGACTAGCCAGGTGTGGTGGGGGAGTGCCATTCCTGGGAGTGCGCCCAGAGAGAGCACACGCCCCATAAATAACTGTCCATAACTCTAGTCCCAGGGGATCCAACACCCTCTTCTGACCTCCACAGACATTGCACGACACAGGTGCACTTATCTACATGCAGGCAATACATGCATACACATAAAATAAAAAACAATAAAATTTAAAAAAATTAAATTAAAAAAGTACATATAATGTACTATGTATAAACTTTCTACATATAATTTTCATGTTGTCACATTAAACTTTTATATACTTTGCCTCTGGCTGGTAGGTTTTCCTATACACCTACCCTTCCCTATAAATTTCTAAACCTCAAGATTGCCAAGGTCAACCACCTGCTTTGAGAAGCCTTTGTAACTCTCAAAGGTAAAACTGATCTCCCCTTCTAAATTCCCACATGATCTTGCAGATCATGAACATGGTCAAAATGACAACTTTACATGTGTCTGTCTTTCCTGCTAGACTGCAGAATTTGTGACATTTCCTATAGTCAGCTCCAGTGGAGGATCTTGGTTGTACACTTCACTGTTGTTGAATTAACTAAACAGTGAATGATAGCAATGACAGCAACCATCTATTATTTAGCATATACTGTGGAGAAGCCAAAGAGGCAAGGTTAAATTTGTTTCTTTAAACACTGATATCTGGAGCTGGAGAGATGGCTCAGTGGTTAAGAGCACTGGCTGCTCTTGCTGAGGACCTGGGTTCAGTTCCCAGCACCTATGGTGGCTAACAACCACCTATAACTCCAGTTCCAGGGGATCTGATGACCTCTTCTGGCCTCAATGGGCATTGCACACACAGGTACTTAGGTACATGCAGGCAAAACACTCACAAACATAAAAATTCAAGAATCAAAAAAATTTTTTTTAAATCAAAAAACTTTTAGAAAAGTTAAACATTGATATTTAAGGAAAGCTAGTACAATTGCAAAAGGAGCATAAGTTTGTTAGGAATATAGGCAGAAATCACCAAGTATACGTGATTTGCAAAAATTTCAAAAAAGATGAACTTGGGAGGAAGATTTTAATAGGAAACAAAGAATTTCCAGTTTGAAAATAGGAGACAATTGGGGCTGGAGAGTTGCCTCAGCAGTTAAGAGCACTGGCTGCTCCTGCAGAGGACCTGGGTTCAATTCCCAGTACCCACATAGTGGCTAACAACTGTCTATAACTCTAGTTCCAGGGGATGTGACGCTCTCTTCTGACCTTTCAGGCACTGCATGACATGGGAGCACCAACCTACATGCAGGCAATACACTCAAACACATTAAATAAAAATAATAAATAAAATATTTTAAAAAGAGGGATGTCTGGAGAGATGCCTCAGTGGTTAAGAATACTTGCTGTTCTTCAAGAGGACCCAGGTTCAATTCCCAGCACCCACATGGCAGCTAACAACTGCCCTTAACTCCAGTTCCAGGGGATCTGATACCCTCTTCTGGCCTCTGCAGTATCTGCACTACACCGGTGCACTTATATACATGCAGGCAATACACTCATACACATAAAAATAATAATAAAATAAAATAAAAAGAAAATAGAAGACAATTGAAGCCAGGTGAGGTGGTGCACACCTTCAATTCCAGCACTTGGGAGGCTACTGCAGGCAGATCTCTTTTAAGTTCAAGGTCAGCCTGGTCTACATAGTGAGTTCTAGGCCAGCTGGGGCTACAGGGAGACCCTGTCTCAAAGAAAGAAAAAAAAGGAAATGGAAGATAATTGTGTGATGCCAGGTATGAATGGAAATGAGATGTGTGGGGCTATAGCCCAATTGGAGCAAAAGTCTTATCATTCAAAGGTAGGAAACAAATGAAGTCTTGAGCTTAAGAGGTCCTGGAGGTAATTGAAAATCATAGAAGGTCACAGAAATGAAAAAGAGTAGGGCTTTAGGAAGTCTATTCTATATAATAAACATACTATGGGAGAATGGGACTAAAGCTCAGTGGTAGAATGCTTGCCTAATATAAGTGAGGCCCTACATTCAATTCCCAGTACTGAAACAAACAAACAAAAAACATACGATGGAAAGGGAAGCCCCATATCCTACTTTGTCCTTTAGTTTTGCCTGTAGGAAGACAGTCAGGCTCTGTAGTTGCTCATTCAGCAGCCAAAGCTCTTTATGATGCTGGTGTGTCTTCTCTAGGACTTGTTTCTCATGCCCTGCTACAGTGCTGGCCAGCTCAGCCCTGAAATGAACCAGGAAGATGATCAAAGATCAAATAGGTTACTTTCTCTGAACATTTCTCCCAAACCCCCCATATTCAAGGAGTGAAGCGGAGGCTCAGCACTCTCACAGTTCTGTTCTGAGAGACTCTGGGGAAAATAAGCACTTGGAGGGAAGCAAGAAAGGTAAAGATCTTACTTTAGGTTTTCTACAGTGTCCTTGAGAGTCTCACATTGCAGGCTACGCTCCCGTAGTACATCTAGAGTGGTTTTCAACTGACACTCAATCTGTCCCAGCTCCAGGTGAGCAACTTGACTCTCTTGGTCTGCAAACTGGAAAGATGGGAGAAAGAAAAAGAAAGAAAGAGAGGGAATTTAGAGCCTGGGACAGAGGCTTTCTCTAGCCTACAACCCCAAACTTCACCTCAGTCCTAGCAGGCAAGAGTCACACTCCCAAGGTTTACCTACTCCCTTGCTCCAAGCCCAATTCCTTACCTCCAGGGTCTCCTTCAGGTCCTGCACCTCCTTGGTCAACACAGCCTGCTGATGCTGCAGTTCTGCCAGTGTGTGTTTTAGTGCCATCTCTTCCTTTTGCCATCTGCCAAAGATCTTACATTAGATTCCATGTGGTCCTACATACGGGGTCTCTATTGCTATAACAACCTGATGGGAACTCACTGAGCAGCCTGTTCTTCACTGCTTTGGGTAAGCTGACACAGCAACTCATCCTTCATGGCCAGGTCCTGGGCACAATGGGTATGCTGACTCTCCAGTTCTTTTAGTTGGCTGTCTGTATTAGCCAGAATATGCAGCTGAGCCCGGAGATCTAGATCAAAAGTATCCAAATGACGCCATGGCACTAATTAGCCAAAGCCCTTCCACAATTTTGCCCCAAAACAAGTGCTCTAGAGCACTTCCTTATTGCCACATGCCAAGCAGGCTCAATCTATGTGCACACGCACACACAGACAGACACAAACACACACACCTGTTGCAAGGCGACTATTTTCCAACTTCAGTTGTTCTATTTGGCCTTTATAGCTGTCTAAGTGGGCAGAGACTTGTTCTAGCTCCTTGGTAATCTAAAAGAAAAGACAGTTTCAGGGCTGGAGAGATGGCTCAGTGGTTAAGAGCACTGGCTGCTCTTGCAGAAGACCTGGGTTCAGTTCCCAACAACCACATGGTGGCTTACAACTATCTGTAACTCCAGTTCCAGGGGATCCAGTGCCTCTTCTGGTCTCTGAGGGCACTTCACACATGTGGTACCCATACATACATGTAGGCAAAACACTCATAAAATTTTAAAAAATTAAAAAATTTTAGAAAAGAATAGGAAAGACAGTTTTCTTCCTATAGTTCCTCCTGAGTCAAGAATTCCAGGACTCAGTGCAGCTTCTCCTTCTGGCTAACAGAGAAAATTACCTGGACAGCAACAATGCAGAAAATAAAGCTGATCCTCAGGAATAAGTAGAGATAAGAAAAATTACTGAAGTACTGCTGCTGAAGAGCAAAACAGCTGGGCTCAAGCCATCTTATAACCAAGGGAAGTGGGTGGTCTTCAAATCCAGAGGGAAAGGAGATAGGTCCAGTAAAAGAAGCTATAGCATGCTCTAAAGAAACCAGGTCAGCCGGGCATGGTGGCGCATGCCTTTAATCCCAGCACTTGGGAGGCAGAGGCAGGCAGATCTCTGTGAGTTCAAGGCCAGCCTGGTCTACATAGTGAGTTCCAGGACAGCTGGGGCTATAGGGAGACTGTCTCAAAAAGACCAAAAAATAAAAAGAAACCAGTCCTAAACAGTCCGCACTCCAAATACCTGCTGCTTTTCCTTGATTGCAACATCACGTTCCTGCAGGGCCTGCCGGCTCTTGGCTGTGAGTTTCTCTGTGAGTTTTCGAGACTGACTCAGCAAAGTTGTCCAAGTCCCACACTACCAGAAGTAAGCAGAACAGTAGAACACAGTAAGGTCAGCCCACTAGCAAAGCTGGCTGTAAGGGAATGGTTATCAAGGCTCCAAATATTCACCTTCAGGTGCATCGATGTCCAGTCCTGTTGCAAGGCAGAAGTCAGATGCACTGTCTGCTGAGCCAGCTCTTTTTGCTCTGCATGAAGCCCTATCTGGAAGGGAAGAATCACCCTATGGAGGCAGCTAAAGTAGGAATATGTGACCATCTTTCTGTGTGTCAGCATGGACCCCAGAAATGAAAATGCCCTTAAATTACCAGTTGGGTCTGAGCCTCCTGTAGAAGGCCTCTGAATTGTTGCAAGGATGTCAAATTCTGTTCCAGCTGGCTAATACGCTGGCTGGCATGTGCACAGAAAGCTTCCAGTACTGTCTCGGCCTGTTTAGGGAAGAGATTGCAAGGACATAGTGTGTAGTACAAGGAAACAGCACAAAAGGCCATACCCACAGGCACCTCAGCAGCTCTTAATTCCCCAGGGTAGGCAGTCTGTCTCAGGTCATTCCTACAGGAATTTTGAAGTGGAGATCTTCTGCATATAGAAACAATCATCTGCCACCTTACCACATCTTTGCCTTTGAGGGCTATTTCCTCTCTGTGCCTTGCCTCCTCCCTTTCTGTTTTGAGACTCTGAAGCTTTGCCCTCAATTTCTTCAGTACATCAGAACAGCAGGAAATCAAGGTTTCTACACGCTGAGACTACAAAGTAAGAATCAGATGTATGTCTTGCGCCTTCCTTTTGGTTTTCAGTCTCACCAAGGCCCCTACCTCCACCTTCATGCCACTTACCTCCTGATTCACTGCCATTCTATCTTCTTCTATGTGTGTCAGGGACAGGTAAAGCAAGGGTAGCAGTTCTTTAGAGACTAGCACCCATGATTGCTGTAGAGGGAAAGACAGCTGGCTAAGCTACATCAAATACAGTCTCTATGCAAGAAGCAGGGACACAGCAGAGGAAAGCCATCGACCCCAATTCCAAGGTCAATCAACACTTACCATGACATTCCTAGCCTGAAGCAGGGCCTGTCTAATTTCCTGACTCTCCTGAAGATGTTGAGGCTTCTTAGTTACCTAGCCAAAGAATAGTTCTTTTTGGATAGAGTATATACCAGCAGCCTCTTATGACCCCTCAACTCAGTGAGTTACAGGAACCTTTTGAAAATATGAGAAGGGCCAGGCGTGGTGGTGCATACCTTTAATCCCAGCACTTGGGAGACAGAGGCAGGCATACATAGTGAGTTCCAGGACAGCTGGGGCCACAGGGAGACCCCATCTCAAAAAGAAAAAAAAAAAAGAGAAGGAAAAACTAGGCTCCCAACTAGATGAAGCAAAATAAGGAAAACCTAGAGGACCAGGGCAACAGCTCAACTGGTAAAGCACTTGCTCCAGTCCCAGGGGATCTGACACCCTCTCCTAGCCACTGTGGGGGCTGCATACATGAGTGCACTTACATATATACAGGCAAAATACTTATACAAGTAAAAAGAAAGACTCTCTTTAAAAAAATAAAAAATAAAGAGCTGGACATGGTAGTACATGCCTATAATCTCAATATGAGATGATGAAATGGGAGGTAGAGACAGGCAGATCCCTGGACACTTAAGAGCCAGCTAGCCTGACCTATGTGACAAAGTTCTAGGTCAATGAGATATTGTCTTAATGAAAGGGTAGGTGCGGGCTGGAGAGATGGCTCAGTGGTTAAGAGCACTGCCTGCTCTTACAGAGGACCCAGGTTCAATTCCCAGCACCCACAGGGCAGCTACAAACGGCCCTTAACTCCAGTTCCAGGGGAATCTGAAGCCTTCCTCTGACCTCTGTAGCACGGTATGACACAGGTGCACTCACATACATGCAGGCAACACACTCATACACATAAAATAAAAATAAAATATTAAAAAAAAATAGGTAGGTGCTTGAGGACTAATACCCAAGGTCCTTTGGCTTCCATATGTACTGTGTAGACTTGTATGTATGTATACAACTGGACACCCCCCTTCTTAAATTCTTCCATTGTGCTGTGTACATACTAGGCCAGTGCTCTACTGTTGAATTGTATCTCCAGCCCCAAAAGTTCCTTTTGCCAGGCAGGGTGGCACATGCCTTTGATTCTAGTACTGGGGAGGTAGGAACTGACAGATCTCCAGGAATTTGAGGCCAGCCTGGTCTACATAGCTAGCTCCAGGTTAGCTAGGGCTACATAGTGAGGCCCTATCTTTAAAAGAGAGAAATCACTAACAATTTCACTATCTGAAACAGTGACTCTTTTGTTTTGATAAGTCTAGAATGGCCTTGAACTTAAGATCCTCTTCCTCAGCCTCCCATTGTTGGGATTACAGACATGTGCCACTGTGCCCAGTTCTAAGCCGTGGCTTCTGTCATTAAATTAGCATACAAGATAATAGATTTTTCTTGAGCTTCACCCCATTTTCCCTGCTCTTCCTCTCTCCAGTAGCACCAATTCCTCTTTCATGTCACATGTACTGCAGTCCTTTTTCCCTCTCCCCACCTTAAGGCTTCTTCTTACCTTCTCATGGTCCCTTTTCCATTTCCATGATTTACACACACACTGTCACTCACATAAACACTCCTACACAGAAGTTAAAATCCCAGATCTGTGTATGAGACTATGTGATTGCTTCACTCTGTATGATTTCCAGTTCCATCCATTCTCCTGCAAATGTCATTTCATTTTTCTTTACAGCTGAATAAAATTCTATTGTGCAATGTACCACCCTTTGATTATACATTCATCTGATGGTGGACATTTAGGCGAGTTCAATTTCCTAGCTATTGTGTACAATGCAGCAATAAGTTTCTCTGTGGTAGGACTTGGAGTCCTTTGGGTCTATACTGGATTTTCAGAGTGACTATACCAGCGTACAGTGAATTAGGGTGCACACACACACACACACTTTTTCCTTTTTGTATTTTTGAGACAGGGTCTTCCTATAGCCCAAGCTGGCCTAGAACTCGCTATATAAACCAGGCTAGCCTCAAACTCACAGAAATCCACCTGCCTCTGCCTCTCAAGTGCTGGGATTAAAGGCATGTGCCACCATACCCAGCCTACACACACATCTGACCAGCATCTGTTATTTGTTTGACACAGGGTCCCCCTGTGGCTCAACTCTCCAGAAGACCAGGGTTCAAATCCCAGCACCCACATGGCAGCTAACAATTGTCCTGTCCCAGGGGATCCAATGCCCTCTTACCTCCAAGAGCATCGCACAACATGGGTGGACTTACATACATGCAGGCATAACACTCATACATATCAATAAAAATAAATTTAAAAAATAAATCAAGGGCTGGACGTGGTGGCGCACGCCTTTAATCCCAGCACTTGGGAGGCAGAGGCATGCGGATCTCTGTGTGTTCAAGGCCAGCCTGGTCTACAAAGTGAGTTCCAGGACAGCTGGGGCTACAAGGAGACCCTGTCTCAATAAGACAAAAAAAATTATATTTATTTGTGTATATGTGTGTTTGTGTGTGTGTATGTGTCCACAAGTCTCAGCTAGTAGAATCACAAGAGTTTGAGGCCAGCCTGAGCAACAAAGCATGTTCTAGGTAAACCTGGGCTAAAGAACCTGATTCAAAAAAAGAAAAAAGAAAATTTGGGCCAGGCTTCTTGCACTGTAATCCCAGCAACTGGGAAGCCAGGACAGGAAGGTTAAGAATTCAAGGCCAGGCCTGGAGAGATATGGCTTAGCAGTTAAGTGCACTTGCTGCTCATATAGAAGACTTGGGTTCAGTTCCCAGCATACACATGGCAACTCATATCCATCTAACTCTAGTTCTGGGGGATCCACAGAGCCCAGGTATGCACATGGTGCACATATATACATGTATACCAAACACTCATACACATAAAATTAAACTTAGGATCTCGTGCATGATAAGCAAGTGCTCTACTAATGAGTTATATTACTAGGCCTATTTAGATTATTTCTATTTTATATTTTAATTGTTCTTTGTTTTTTGTTGTTGTTTGTTTTTTTTTTTGTTTTCTGGGTTTTTTTTTGAGACAGGGTCTCCCTGTAGCCCCAGCTGGCCTTAACTTGCTATCTAGACCAGGCTGGCCTCAAACTCACAGAGATCTGCCTGGCTCTGCCTCCTGAGTGCTGGGATTAAAGGCATGCACCATCACACTCAGCTTAATTGTTCATTATTTTATGGAAGATAAAGATATTACTATGAAGCCCAACCTTGTAGCACACATGAGGCTGAAGCTGGATGACCTTGAATTTGAAGTCACCTTGGGTTATAAAACAAGACTTTTGGATCTCTGTGAGTTCGAGGCCAGCCTGGTCTACATAGAGAGTTCCAGGCTAGCTGAGGCTACAGAGAGGCTATCTCAAAAAGATTAAAAAAAAATATCAAAAAAGTCGTATTGTACCCCCAGAAGAGATTAAATATGATCTCAAAGACAGCAGAATTTGAGGAATACTTGGGGTCTAAGAGAAAAGTGGGAATCTTTATTACTGCTGAAAGGAAGCTACTGTCTAGAGCAAGGGACAGCAGTGCTGAGTCACCAGGATGGGGCATTCTGGATTTCAATAAGCAGTCACATCATCTTCAGGTCTCTTAAGAGTTCATAGCTCCCTTCCCCAACAAAGCAATCATTACCTACTGCATCCTGCACAAAGGCACAGAGCACCCCATGAGTCCTGGATATGCACACGTACTGCTCAGAGCTGGGCAGTCAGGCAGGTGATGAGATTAATGTTGAGAGGTAGCTGAGCAGCAAGGACATGCACGGTGATGGCAACTGGCTTAAGGGATGTCATTTCCCTGCTCTGGTTCTGCTTCAGTGGCCTCCAAAGGGACCTGGCAGCTTAGGAGGCTAGAAGGCAGTTCTGGGGACACGAAATGAGGTCAAGGGCAAGAAAAAAGACTGAAAGATAATACAGAAGAGAAATCGAGCAGCTAGAGGAACAGGAGCCCATGGTTTCCAGGACTTGGGGCAAAAGGCAGTCATCATGTTGAGGATATTTTCACTTGCAAAGAGGCACTGGGCATTTAGGAAACCATTTCTTCCAATCATCAGCCACCACAATATTGAGGCTTTCTATTCTTTCCCCAACACCATTCCTATAATAATATATAATATATAATGGTATGTGGGTTTGCTTGTTTTAAAAAAAATTTTTATTGGGGCTGGAGAGATGGCTCAGCAGCTGAGAGCACTGACTACTCTTGCAGAGGACCCAGGTTCAATTCCCAGCACCCACATGGTGGCTAACAACCTTCTATAACTCCAATTATAGAGGATGCAGCACATTCTTCTGACCTCCTTGGGCACTGTATGACATAGGTACACTTATACACATGCAGGCAATACACTTATACACATAAAATAAAAATAAATAAAATTTCTTAAAATTACATTTACTTATGTATATGTAGGCACTCCCATACACATATTGAGGTCAGAAGACAACTACAAGAGTTGGGTGGATCATGGGGATTTAACTCAGGTCATCAGGCTTCCCAGCAAGCATCTTCACCTGCTGAGTGATCTTGCCAGCCCTTTTCTGAATTTTTTTTCTTTTTGAGACAGGGTCTCCCTGTAGCCCCAGTTGGCCTGGAGCTCACTATGTAGACCAGCTTGGCCTTGAACTCACAGAGTTCCCCTTAATTTATCTTATGAGTGTTTGCCTACATGTATGTAAGTACATCTGTGTTGTACAATGTCCATGGAGGCCAGAAGAGGGCACTGGAGTGTTGGAGTTACAGACAGCTGTCGCGGGTGAGAGGAACTGAACTCAGGTCCTCTACAAGAGCAACCAGTGCTCTTAACCACTGAGCCATCTTTCCAGCCCCTTTGTGGTTTTTGATAGAGGCATGAACTTGCTATATCAGTCAGACCAGACTGACCTTGAATTCACAGAGATCTGCCTGACTCTGCCTCTTGAGTGCTAGGATTAAAGGTGTTTTATTTTATGTGTTTTATGTTTTGCCTGCATTTAAGTGTACCCATGTGTATAATTCCCATGAAGGCCAAAAAAGGACATAGGATCCCTTGGAACTGGAGTTATCTGTAAGAGCAGCCAGTGCTCTTAACCACTGACTCTTCTTTCCAGCCCTAATTTTTAAATTTTTTAATTTGTTTTTTAAAATTAGTATACAAAGTAATGAATTTCATTGTGGCATTTTTCATACATACTTCTGTTCTTACTGACCTTCTGTGCTGGAGAGCTTTGGTTGTCAACTCAATACACCTAGGAAGAGGCACCCTCACTGGTCTATGGCCACTGTCTGGAGCACTTTCTTGATTGTTGAGTGATGTGGGAGGGCCCAGTCCACTGTGGGTGGTGCCACCCCTGGGCAGGTGGTATTATATGGTATACAAAAGCAGGCTGAGCAAAGGCCAGGGAAGCACGCCAGTAAGCAGTGTACCTCTGTGCTCCAGGTTCCTGCCCTGAGTTCCTGCCTTGGCTTCCCTCGATGACAGACTACTGTGCTTTGTAAGCCAAATAAATCCTTTCTTCCTCAAGTTGGTTTTGGCCATTTTTATCACAGCAATTGAAAGCAGACTAGAATACAGTCCTTCTCCACTCCTCTTCCTGTCCCCTTCCTTTCCTTAAGAATCCCACTTCTCACTTCATGTCACATGTATTCTATTGCCTTTTTCCCCGTGACCCTCTTACTCTTTTTCCCCTTTCATTGGTCCCTCTTTAGTTTCACGGCACAAACCCCCCAGAATTAAAATCTAGGATCTGTCTAGGCCAACCAAATCAACAATAGCAAGACCCTTTCTCAAACAACAAACCAAAAACTAGGATCTACATCTGAGAGAAAACATGCAGTATTTGTCTTCCTAAGCTTGTGTTATTTCACTTAAGATAATAATTTCCGATCCTATCCATTTTCCTAAAATGGTACTGCAATTTTTTTGTTTTTGTTTGTTTTGGTCTTTTTGAGACAGGGTCTCCCTGTAGCCCCAGCTGGCCTGGAACTTACTAGTAGACCAGGCTGGCCTCAAAATTACAGAGACCCCCTGGCTCTGCCTCCCAGGTGCGGGGATTAAAGGCGTGTGTCACCACACGGGGCAGTACTATAATTTTCAATAAAACCCTAAACATAGCCAGTGGGGGGGGGAATCAAACAGATGGAGTTACTCTCCTTACTATAATTCACACAGTAAAATGATTCAGCAAAAATTCATGGTTTCCATTCTAAGAGATATAAGCACTAAGATCTTCACAGAAATAATGGAATAACTAGGAACAGAGGAAACAAGAGTATGCCACCCAATTCTAAGAATTCCTTTGGAGACATATGTCAAAAATCTTAGGGAATTTTGACCAAAAATGTTTAAGGAAAGGCTAGTAAAAGTGTAAAAGTGGATGTTGTGCAAGCCTGTTGACCTGAGTCCTGTCCCTAGAACCCAAGTGGAAGGAGAACCAACCTCTGAAGGTTGTCTTCTGGCCTCTAAACACTAGGATGTACACACTCAAAACAAATTTAATGGGCTGGCATGGTGACATATGCTTGTAATGCACCACTATAGAGATTGAGGCAGGAGGGTCGCTGAGATTGAGATAGGATCTCACTATATAGCCCTGGCTACCCTGGAACTCACAGAGATCTTCCTGCCTCTGACTCCCAAGGGTTTCAATTAAAAGCATGCGCCACCATAACTGGCCTCAAAAACTATATTTTAATTACTGTAGTCATTTGCTTCCTTAGTACACACAAAAGATTTTCTGTTGTCATTTGATTGGTATGTAAGATTTGGAATATGAAGTAAGTATGATCTTCTTTATTAAAGTGGGCAAGGGCAACTGACAATAGAGAAATAGAAAAGAAAAAAACTAGTGACGAATATATCTGGAAGATGATGATTTGAAATTATTCCTTTAAAACTTTATCTTAGACTTGGGATACAGCTCTGTGGTAAAGCGCTCGCCTAGCATGTAGAGGCCCCTAGGTTCAATCCTGAATACCATAAAAATCAATTAATGAACTTTGAGTACTTTGTACTCCCTTGAAAAGTCCTGCTGTACCTGAGAGGTACAGTAAGTACCCCAGAGGTACAGTAAATAGCCAGAGCTTTAAAGATGTTTCAAGATCTTCAGCTTTTAAGACAGCCTAGCTTCAAACTCTATTTTTATTTTATTTTATTACTATTATTTTTTTTTGGTCTTTTTGACCCAGGGTCTCCCTGTAGCTCCAGCTGTCCTGGAACTCACTATGTAGACCAGGCCTGCCTCTGCCTCCCAAGTGCTGGGATTAAAGGTGTGCGCCACCACGCCCAGCCTATTTTATTTTTTTAACTTATTTTTATGTTTACATGTATGAGTGTTTTGCTTGCAATGTAAATAATCTAAGTGCACTGGGCATGCAATGCCCACAGAGGCCAGAAGAGGGTGTCAAATCCCCTGGAACTGGAATTACCAATGGTTGTTCACTGCCATGTGGGTGCCAGGAAGTGAACCCAGATCCTCTGGAAGAGCAAGTGCTCTTAATTGCTGAGTCATCTCTCCTGCCCCTTGAACTCTACATAGCTCAGGCTGGCCTTGAACTTGAGATCATCCTGCCTCACAGCCTCAGAAATGCTGGGATTATAGGCATACCTTGCTCAGATCCTCAGCTTTTACATATATTCTAAGAATGCACCTGTGATTAAGGAGCCCTCTTGTCCTCTGGCAGCTCATCAGCTTAAATTAGGAGGCTGGGTCCTCCAAGCTCTAGGAAGAAGCTTCTTACCCCACAAGGAGAGTTGCTGGTCTGTGTGCTACTGTCCTGGGATTCTGCATGGGAGACAGTCAGCTGGCTCTTCCATGTTTGTAGCTGTCGGAAAAGAACTTCCAGCATGACAAGAGAGCTCAGCAGGTTATCTTCCAAGTCATGCCTGGACAAGGCAGTCAGAGCTGGAAGACAACGGCTACAACGAGAAGATGAGGAAAGGAAGGGGAAGAGATGGGCGTGGGACGTCTAGAATATTGGAGCCCAAAAGCACAAGCTTAGAGGGGTCACTTACCCCAACAGGAGGTGTTCTGTCTCTGAAGTACGGTCCTTGGTGTCTGCTGTCTGAGATTTGTTTGGATTCTCTTTCTGTAGTACTGGAGGAGTAAACCAAGTTCCCACAGAACAAGTAGAGAGAGGTGTATTACCAATGGCAGCATCCTGAAGCAAAGAAGGAATCGACAAGCTTTGGCGGAGATTTTCTAGCATGATTGAAGTATTCACACCTTTTTCTAGCCAGGCCAATGGGGACGTCCAAGTCTCTGAATCTAAGCCAGGAATCCTACTAGCATCTTCTACTTTGGGGCCTGGAGTTTCCTGGGATTCCACTTCTGGATTTGGTGTCAGACATACGGATGGAACATCTTCCATATCTGAGACAAATGCTTGATCCCCCAGTTGAACCTCAGAGAATTCAGGAAGGCTTATTTCCGTTCCCTGTATAACTCTTTGCTCTACAGTTTCCTCCCCTGGATCTGCATAATTGACAGGGAAATCCATTGTCAAGACAGTTGAAGGGGAAAGCCAGACCATGGAGGAATGCAAGACATTTTCAGAAGGTATTAAATCCTCAGGCATAGCTTCAGTGATGTTATCCCTTGGGCTTTCTTCAGAGCAGTGGAACTGTTGTTCTGAACAAGGTTTTGGTGGATATTCTAAAAGATGGGATGGGGAATTCTGAAATACAGGTTTCTCAGGCATTACAGCACTATCTATAAAGCTATCTTCCATATAGGGTGCCACATCCTTTCCCACCAGATCGTCTAGCACCAAAGACTTGTTTAGAAAGCTGTTTGTCTTTGCTATGGAATCTAAATGGGCATCAAGTTTCAGATCTTGCTGCTGCCCTGATGGACAGGATATGAGAACCATGGTCTTAACTATGCTGTCATCCATTGGTTCCACTACATAGTCATCCACAGAGTCTACTGCTTTCTCAGATATTTTGAGAGTAGAGTTACTTTCAGGAGTGGGATCTGATTCATGCTGACACGCTTCTAGGTACATTAAGGAATGGCTAGATTCTTCTGAGGGGAAGTTAGTCTTCTTGGCATTGAGAAAATCCATTGGCGATAAGTTGTTGCCGCCTTCCTGCCAAAGGCAACAAAAGTAGTGGAATAAGACAGTCAAGTCAGTCCCCAAAATATAATTGTGTAAGCAAGATAATAGGCAAACTTTGGATTAGAGAGATGGCTCAGTGGTTGAGAGCACTGGCTGCTCTTGTAGAGGACCTGGGTTCATTTCCCAGCACCCACATGGCAGCTAACAACTATGAGTAACTCCAGTACTTTTCTGGCCTCCATGGGCATTGTATGACACAGGTGCACATACATACAGGCAAAACATCCATAAAATTAAAAAAAAAATTTTAAAGATATCAAACTCTCTCTCTCTCTCTCTCACACACACACACACACACACACACACACAAAGCCAGGCATGATGGTACATGCTTTTAATCCCAGCACTTGGGAAGCAGAGGCAGGCGGATCTCTGTAAGTTCAAGGCCAGCCTGGTCTACACAGTGAGTTCCAGGACAGCTGGGGCTACAGGGAGACCCTGCTTTAAAAAGAAAAAAAAAAAAAAAAAAAAAGTCTTTGAAGAACCTTATGGGTCATTTTCCTTTTTTTTGGTGGTTTTGAGACAGTCTTTCTGTAGTTCCTGTAGACCCAGCTGGCCTGAAACTCACTATGTAGACCAGTCTAGCTTCAAACTCAGAGATCCACCTGCCTCTGCCTCCTAAGTACTGGGTCTAAAGGCGTGGGCTGCCACGCCTGGCTTCATTTTCCATTCTTGACAACTTTTTTAAAAAAATATTTTATTTTTTTTTTTTATGTGTATGAGTATATTGCCTGCATGTATGTGAGTGCACCCGTGTCATGCAATGCCACAGAGGTCAGAAGAGGGCTTTGGATTCCCCTGGAACTGGAGTTAAGGACAGTTCATAGCCGCCATGTGGGTGCTAGGAATTGAACCTGGGTCCTCTGCAAGAGCAGTCAGTACTCTTAACTGCTGAGCCGTCTCTCCAGCACCGACAACTTTTTTTTTTTTAACAAAGCAGTTTGTACATGTTTACTTTTCTTAAGACCATTGACAATAACAATCTAAAACATTTAAAATTAAAAAATTTAATAAATAGAAAACACCTTTGGCAAAAGTACACCTCAGTAAGGGCAATTTTGCAAGGTACTAGAGTTTAAAATAATTTAAAGCAATCCAAGCATCCTGCCTTTCTGTGGTATAATGGATCTAGGCGAATAGATGGATACTGTCTCATTCTTGTATGAATGTCTCTTCCTCAATGAGCCTTAATGAGTTAGAGGAAGACCACTGATAGGTGCGTATTTCTCAAGAGTTTGGTAAAGGTAGAACCGGGAAGAAGCTAACTAACAGCTAAATAGAGGTCCAGGTTCTGGGGGGGGATTTGTTTTAAGCACCGGGGGGGGGGGGCTCTCTGTTGGCCTGGAGTTACGGAAGTAGAAGGCTTACATTATCCTTATTAATTACGTTCCTGCCCGGGCCCTCTGTTCCTCTGAGCTTTGGGCCTGGACAAACAGCCCAGCTGAGAAGCTGTCCAGGTGAATCTCACCTGTAGCCCCAGCTTGAGCAGTGACGGGGTCAGCGAGGAGCACGTCAGGGATCCTTTTTCTGAGTCAGTGAGGACGCCCGGCTGCAGTATAAGTTCACGGAGAGGAGTTCTCATGGCTGTTTTTCCCTGAAAAATAAATCCAGTGTGAGGAAGCCTGGGCTCCGCCAGCGGGCCTCTCCTCCCTCCCACAGTCCAGCCCCGCCGCCGACAAAGGCCCTGCAGCCCAACAGGGCCCAGGGCTCCCGGCCTCCGCACCGCCGGCGCTCGCCCCCAGCAGCTCCCTCCCCGCGGGAGTTCTCACCGGCTGGGGCGAGGGCGACAGGTCGAGATTCAGTGCTTTCACCCGCCACATTTTCAACTCGCCAAGGGAGGAAACTCACTTCCCAGACCGAGGAGACATAGCCATGTTTACCCGCCGTCTGGATTTGAACCGGTTACGCGCCCCCGGATTGGCTGCAAAATTGCAGCGTCGGGATGGGCGGGACCAGATCTGGTCACGCCCCTAGCCCGTTCCCGGCGTTCAGCCGACAATTTCCCGAAAACTAACGCCTTTTTTCCAGACGGCTGCCTGAAGGCCGGACCGGTGGGGGTGCTGTGTCTGCAAGTCACTGACGCCGCAGATAGCCCAAGTCCTATTTCCGGTGACTCTTTCTCACAGCTTGTTAGGAAGGGCTCCAGAGCATGGCTTCTGTAATCTCTCAGGTTTCCCGTAGTTACGGGGCGTAGTTACGGTAGCATTTCATGCAGGCTTGGTTCATAACGTCCTGAAAGAGCTCAACCTCGGTCTCCAGGTAAATGCCTCTTCAGACTTTCTAGGCGTTTCTTGGCGTTAACCTTAGGGCCTGCGACAAGATTACTGCAATAACGGGCCCTGGCACTGTTTAAAATGCTTGATGTGGCCGGGCGTGGTGACGCACGCCTTTAATCCCAGCACTCGGGAGGCAGAGGCAGGTGGATCTGAGTTCGAGGCCAGCCTGGTCTCCATAGTGAGTTCCAGGCCAGCTGGGACTGCAGGGAGACCCTGTCTCAAAACAAACAAACAAACAAAAAAAGCCACACTATCAACTACTGTATTCTAGTCTGTTGAATCCGTTCTGAAATCTGTCCACTAAAGATAGAACTGATTTTTTGTTTTCCTTTCGCTTCTGTTTTGAGACTGAGTCTCTTTGTAGCCCTAGCTGGCCTGGAACTCCCTTTCTAGAGGAGGCTGGCCTCAAACTCAGAGATCCCCCAGCCTATCTCCCCAGTGCTGGGATTAAAGGTGTGTGCCACCATGCCTGGCAAATTAAGATTTTACTTTGTGTGGGATTGATTTTTTTTTTAAATTAACAACTGAAGGTTTTTGTTAAGACAGTCTCAGTATGTAACACAGGCTGTTCTCAAACTTGGGGTGATCCTTTTGTCTGCCTCTAGAGCAGGTCCTTTTGTAGCAAGGTCTTGCTATGTTGCTCAGGCTGGCCTTGAACTCCCCTATCATCCTGCCTGAGCCTCCAAATTGGTTGGGACTATAGATGTATACATACCACAATGCCTGAAAGATGAGTCAATTGTTGATGACTATTTCTTTGAACACTCACAGATGCAGTTTATTTTTGGTCTTTTTGAGACAATGTCTTTCTGTAGCCCTAAGCCAGCCTGGCACTTGCTATGTTGACCAGGCTGGCCTCATTCAGATATCCAACAGCCTCTGCCTCCTGAGTGCTGGGACTAAAGGTATGTGCCACCGTGCCTGGCTTATATTTTAGTTTTTTTTTTTTTTTTTTTTTTTTTTTTGAGACAGGGTCCCCCTGTAGCCCCAGCTGTCCTGGAACTCACTATGGAGACCAGGCTGGCCTTGAACTCACTGAGATCCGCCTGCCTCTGCCTCCCAAGTGCTGGGACTACAGGCATGCCCCACCACGCCCGGCTCCTAGGATTTTTTTAAAAATCATTTTATGTGTATGAGTGTATTGCCTTCATGTATGTAAGTACAAGGGTCATGCAAGAACTGGATTTAGGGAGGGTTGTTAGTTACCTTCATATGAACCCCAATCCTCTGCAAGAGCAGCCAGTGCTCCTAAACAATGAGCCATCTCTCTAGCCCCAAGATTTTTATTTTTTATTTATGTGCATGTGTCTGTGCCAGTGCCAGCAGAGGCCAGAAGAAAGCTTTGGATACCCTGAGGCTATAGTTACAGGAAGTTGTAAACTTCCTGATATGGGTGCTGGGACCCAAACTCAGGTCCTTGCAAGAACAGCAAAGCACTCTTAACTGCTAAGCAATATAGTTTTTGTTTCTATGTGACATCTTTTTTCTTTTTGGTCTTTTTGAGACAGGGTCTCCCTGTAGCCCCAGCTGTCCTGGAACTCACTATGTAGACCAGGCTGGTCTTGAACTCACAGAGATCTGCCTGCCTCTGTCTCCCGAGCGCTGGGATTAAAGGCATGCACCACCACACCTGGCCAGGTATTAATTTTAAAAAAAAAAATTTTAAGGGCTGGAGAGATGGCTCAGCAGTCAATAACACTGGTTGTTCTTGCAGAAGACCCGGGTGCGAATCCCAGCACCCACATGGTAGCTAACAACTGTCTGTAACTCCAGTTCCAGGGGATCCGACAGCCTCTTCTGTCCTCTTCGGGCATTGCGAGACATGGGTGCACTAACACACATGCAGGCAATACACTCATACACATAAAACAAAAATAATAAAATATAAAAAATACATATATGCAAAAAAAATTTTATATGTACAACTGTTTTGCCTGCATGTAAGTATACATGTGTGCAGTGCCCAAGGGGACCAGAAGAGGGCACTGGATCCCCTAGAACTGGAGTTGCAGACAGTTTTTAGACATCACATAGGTGCTGGGACTCCAACTGAAGTCCTCTACCAGGAGTAGCCAGTGCTCTTAACTGCTGTGCCATCTCTCCAGCTCCAGATATTTATGTTTTAATGGTCTTATATAAATCTACCTAGAATTAAGTTTTGGAAGCCGAGTACGGTGGCACACACCTGTAATCTTAGCATTTAGGAAACCAAAGAAAGAGGATTATGAGTTCAAAGCCAGGTGGACTACATGAGACCCTGTCTCAAAAAAGTAAGTTTTGGGCAGGATCTAAAATAGGAATACAACTGTTTTGTTTTGAGAAACAAGGTTTCATGTAGCCCTAGCTGGCCTTGAACTTGCTATGTAGTCAAAAATGACCTTAAATTACTAACCCTCCTTCCTCATAATGCTAGGATTATGTTCACCACCATGCCAGGATAAAAAAAAAAAAAAATTAAGATGAGCTGGGCATGGTGACACATGCATTTAATCCCAGCACTTGTGAGCCAGAGGCAGGTGGATCTTTTGAGTCCAAGCCTGGTCTACACAGCCAGCTGGAGCTATAGGGAGACCCTGTCTCAAAAAAAGAAAAAAAAAGATGAAGTTATATTGTCCAAGCTGTCTTTGAATTCCTAACCATCTCAATTCAGCCTCCCAAGTGTCTGGGATTATAGAATTTACTTCTGTGTAAAGCCCAATTATTTAAAAAGTTGTAGTTTGAGACTGGAGAGATGGCTCAGCAGTTGAGAATACTGGTTGCTCTTGCAAAGAGCTGGGATCAGTTCCCAGCACCCACATGGTGGCTAATGACACCTCCTGTAACTCCAGTTCCAGGGTATCTGACACTCTTCTGCCTTCTGTGGGCATTGTACATGTGTGAAACACTTATATACATGTAGGAAAGATACTCATGCACATAAAATACACACAAAAGTTGTAGTTTATTTTTTCTTTGAGACAAGCTCTCATTCTGTTGTCTGAGTTGGCCTCAGATTCATACTTCTGCCTCTGTGTCTTGAGTTCTGAGATTACCTGGGTTTGTCACCATAGCTAGCTTTTTAGGGTTAAAGATGTTATTTATAAATCTGCAGCAAGTGTTCCTGCCTCAGCCTCCTATACTCTGGGATTATGGTGTGAACCATCACATCTAGTGGTGGCACAGGCCTTAAATCTCTATGGGAAGCAGAGGCAGGCAGATCTGTAAAATGGAGGCCAGCCTGGTCTACATAGCGAATTCCAGGCCACCTAAGGCTACAGAGAGACCCCATATCAAAACAACCCAAAAAACAAAAGCTAAAACAAAAAAAGCTATAAAACTGTCTAAAGAGAAATAAATGCACTAAGATATAGTCTTTTTTTTTGGTCTTTTTGAGACAGGGTCTCCCTGTAGCCCCAGCTGACCAGGAACTCACTATGTCCTGGAACTCACTATGTAGACCAGGCTAGCCTTGAACTCACAGAGATCTGCCTGCCTCTGCCTCCCGAGTACTGGGATTAAAGATATGCAATACCGCACCCAGCATAAATCATATTCTAAAATTGCATATTTATTCATGTGTTGAAATGCCAGCTCTTTGAGACCTTTGAAAAGCATTTATATTGCTTTTGACTACTTATTGCTTTTGACTATAAACATAAATAGCACCTTGGGAGCCCATGAAGTGACACTACTTCAAAAGAAAGGAAACATGGTAGAAAAATGGGAGTGGGGGAGTATAAGTATCCTTTAGTTGGCAGCTTAAGGGAAAGAGTACTGGAGAAATGAGGCAAAGAGAAAGTCCACCAACTTGAACTGAGATGTTGAACTGAGAGGTGGATTGTACTATGGGAAAGCAGTAGTTCCAGTTTTGGCTATCAGTTTCAGAATGTCAAAGGTTTCGACTCTGATCCAACACCTACAACAGAATAGTAAAGGACAACAAAGTAAAAATTGGATCTTCAAGTTGGTCGTAGAGTTGGCAGTGGAGATCCTCAGGTTTCCAGCTGGATCCTAATACAGAAGAGAGGGTGAAGCAGAGATGGAGTGGACCAGGAAGGACTCCAGATCACAGTCAAAATCCTTGAAGGGCACTGACTCCAATGGACTGGGCCTAGTATCTCGCATCTCCATGACAAAGTTCACTGGCTGCTTCTGTAGGAGCTCAGGGTCAAAGGCCACACCCCGAAAGAAAGGGTGGATCTGGAAGTGATGCAGATAACGTAGCAGGTAGAGAGGGTTCTTGCACAACAGCTGAAGGAAAACAGTTTGAAGGATGAGAGACTGAGATAATGAAGCTAAACAGAGAAGATGAAAAGGGAGTAAAGAGTTCATGGAGCTATGGAGGGCAGGAAAACAATCTTAGAGCATACAAGATTTTTGAGAGAGACATGGAGGTTGATCTGGAAGGGACTGGTAATAAAGGAGCTGTAATTGTGGATTTTCAGTAAGAGGATAGCGCTGGTTCATGCTCTCTAAAAGGACCTCTCTGTTCTGGATGAGGAAAATATGTGGGGTACCAGGAACTCAGGAATGAAATCTGAAGAGGGGAAATGATAGTTAAGTCGGAGCACCTCAAATACCCACCCCCTCCCCCAAAAAAATTAAGTCAGAGGAGCAGGGAAATATCTTCAATGATAAGAGAAAGAGAGGAGTACACAGTTTGGGAATCAAAAAGGAAAGCAGTATTCACCCTTACCTCATGGAGCAGGAGTGAGAGCTCCTGGTTAATAGAAGCTGGGATCTCAGAAACATAGTAGGTCACACTTGCCAACATGGTCACATGATGTCTTTCTGCTACCACTGGGAACTGAGTTGAAGGGGTAGGGGATGAAAACCAGGAAAGACTTCCTACAGCCTTTTTCCCACCACAAAGAAAATCCCTTCTCTGCCCAACATCACTACCATACCATTCTCTTACCTTTCCAGTTGCCAGGGAGAAAAGCAGTACTCCCAGGGACCACCGATCAGCAGTGTGGTTGTAAGGCCCACCATTCAGAACTTCCGGGGCTATGGATATGAAAGGTCTTGTCACTGACATTCTTAGCCACTCTCACCCATGTATTGAAGAGTGCCACAGATAGTATAGGCTCTTGCTCCCTGGGATAGGTGGCAAGACAGACCAAAGTCCGTCTGTCAGTTTCAGATGGCCTATGAAATAAAGAAACAGCACCACTATGTTCTATGGGGCGGGTCGCTAGACCCCCGGTGTGGTGTGTACGGGCACCCTGGGGTCTCCGCCACACCTGGCTAGTCCCGGTGTGAGTCTGGCCGCAAGCGATGTGGGGAGCGCGCCTGGGCTCCCGGGCGCACTCACTCTGGATGTGGCCCGGGGTTAGGTGTGCGCGCACTCTCCCGCTGTGGTTCTGGTCCCACTGGCTAGCCGCTGGCGGGCCTAGCCGGCCGCGCCTCTCTGGAGACGGCAGGTGCGCAGACTTCTCTGATGCTGGCTGTAGCTGATGGCTACACACTTCTCTGGAGCGGAGAGCTTCCTCTGCTACTAGATTATTATCTAGTCAGAATCCCGCCTCTATTACACCCTTGTACCCTTCCTCAGGATTGCGGAGTTCCTGGCCAGTGAACTCCACAGGGAAGAGGCACGGAGGCAGTGAAAGCTAATAACGGAGGAATAGCGCCCCCCCCAGGGAGACTGGATCACAGGATTTAGTGTTACAGCTCAAGACAAGTGACTCAGCTCAGATCTCAGTGATTCAGCTCCAGCTCCAAGTTTAAGTGATCCAGCTCTAAGTCTGAGTGATCCAGCTCCAAGTCTGAGTGATCCAGCGCCAACTTTATTGGGGTAAAACTAGGACTATAGTGTAGAGACAGCAGAAGAAGTCTTAGCTGATAGGTACTTTTAGGATACCTCATTTACATAGGGCAGTGGGCTTCTATCAGGCTATCAGACAACACCTGATTAAAACCTGGTAACTTCTGTGCCGGAGGGCATGTATTTGTGGCGAGCACTTTAAAAGAAGAGTCAGGGAGGATGCCAGGAAGGCACTCTGCTATGAAAGGAATCTGCAGCACATGGTTTCCGAGCTCGTGAGCTATCCAGACATGAACAGACTTCTACTTGCATAACAGAACCCCAACAATGTTCCACCCCTTATCAACCATGATCTACTCCCAAACAGAAGTACCTCTCATCCTAGGGCTAGAGAAGGAAAGATTTACCTTGTTCATCCAGAAGGATATTCTCCATCTGAAAGATCATGGGTGAGAAAATACTCTTAGTCTTCCATTTGACTGTTTCGGTTGTTGGTTGTTTTTTTTTTAATATTTTATTATTTTTATCTTATGTGTATGCATGTATTGCCTGCATGTAGTAAGCACACACATTGTGCAATGCCTACAGAGGTCAGAAGAGGCTGTCGGATACCTTGGGACTGGAGTTCAGACAGCTGCCATGTGGGTGCTGGGATTTGAAACTGGGTCTTCTGCAAGAACAACCAGTGTTCTTAACCGCTGAGCCATCTCTCCAGCCCCTTTATTTTTATTTTATGTGTATGAGTGTATTGCCTGTATGTATGTGAATGTACCCATGTCGTGCAATGCCACAGAGGTCAGAAGAGGGTGTCAGATTCCCCTGGAACTGAAGTTACAGACAGTTTGTAACTGCCATGTGGGTGCTGGGAATCAAACCTGGGTCCTCTGCAAGAGCAGTCAGCCCTCTTAACCACTGAGCCAACTCTCCAGCCCCTAGTTGGTTTTCTTTAAAAAAAAATTTTCATTTTCTTTATGTGTATGAATGTATTGCCTGCATGTATGTAAGTGTACCCACATAGTGCAGTGCTCACAGGTCAGAAGAGGGCATCAGATCCCCTGGAACTGGAATTATGGTTATTGGTCGCCATGTGGGTGCTGCTAATCAAACCCAGGTCCTCTGCAAGAAGCAACCAGTGCTCTTAACCGCTGAGCCATCTCTCCAGCCCCGTTGATTTGTTTTTTGAGACAGGCTCTCCCCTATACAGCCCAAGCCAGCTGGATTTGGTATGTACACTAAGCTAGCCTCAAACTTGTAATCTTGCCTCTGCCTCCCGAGTGCTGGAATTATAGAAGCGTACATGCCAAGCTCTCAACTCATTCATCATGTACATTTGCTTGCTGGAAAAGATGCCCTAACTCAGCATTCAAACCTATGATTGGAGGACCCCTGCCTAAATCCTTATTCACAAGAACCCAAAAATCAAGCCTTCAGCTCCCAACTACCTTCTCAGACCTGTTAGAACTTCTGAGGTTTTTTCCTCAGACTAAGGGAAAAAAGACAACTCTACCTTTATATCTCAGTGGATGATGCCCAAGTCATGGAGATAGCCTATGGATAATAGTAATCATAGATATATTGAAGATCGCCTATCCATTCCAGTAGTTCTGTACTCCCATCCCATCATTACTCTATTTGACTTCAGAATTATCAATTCTGTTTTCTCCTACCCACCCATTTAACTCTATTTCCTTTACCATTTTCTTCACTTACATAGCATAAGGACGAGCTCAGCTGCAAAAAGACGAACAGAAGCCTCCAGAAAACAACCAAAAGCAGACCACAGAGAGTAGAGGTCTGTACTGCAGTAGATACACAATGCAAAGCACCAGAAGTCTAGGCAATATTTGGGGTCTACAACGCCTGGACTCAAGGCATCGTAGACCTCCTGCCCAAACTGATGCCACCTCCTATTCCGTCTTCTTTGGGGATAGAGATATTATATGAAAAGGGGAACAGCAAAAACAAAATAATCCCAGAGAGATGGATAATCTTTGTAGGGAGAATGACAGATGGAATTTTGAGGGTGAGGAAAGAGACCAATCACTCACTAATAAAGAGGTATCATTTCCCCTGCCAGCTGTCCCCCAAGCTGTGTACAAAGGATGGTTGATCTGTCACTAGAGACAAAGAAAACAGGAAGTTAGCTCAGGATAAGATTATTGACAATAAAGGTACTAAAGAAATCAGGTTCTACCTAGTTGTGTAGAAATGAAGCTGCACTTCACCTGACAGTTTGGAGGAATTCAGTATTTGGGAGTACCTACCTGATAAGCCCAGAACCAGCATACTAAGTAAGGAATATACTAAGACATGTTGGGAGATTTCCCTGTCTGGACCTGGAGTGTGTTGACCACTAATAGCGACTTTTCTCAGGATTTACTTTGTGTTACACTAAGATGGAAACATATGTAAAGTAGAACCAAGAAAAGCAGAAAAGTTCTTGACACATTCCAGAAGACTGCATACCTGCATGCTAACCTCCTCTTTGCATTGCCTCAGGATATCCCTCTGTAGGACTTTTACTTTGGGTACCACCTACAAAAGGAGAGGCATGACAACAGAGAACAGTACTATGCAATTCCTTCCCCTTAATCTCTCTGGAACCAAAAGTAGTATCAGAACTATTGTGTGGAATACCTAGAGCCCTACCTTTACCGCAAATACAGCTTTCTGGGCACAATCTAGCACATTGAGGACAGTTCCAAGGACCTACCTTCAGCTGCAGGGGAAACTGGTAGAAAGAGGCTGATGAACTGAGGAACTGGCCACTCAGACAGAGGCTTCTCTAGTAGCAGTGGGGCTGGCTGTAGGGGCTCCTGATGCCAGCACTGATGCCCATGTAGTTCCCACATTTCTTCTAGACCTGACCTGATGGTCCCCACACCACACCAGAGGCTCTTCCAGCCTCAGACCCAGGAGCCCTGGATGTTGCCACCCTGCTGAGAAAGGAGCCACTCCAAACCTGCCCCTGAAGCACTGGAAGTTCTGCCCAACTCAACAGGCACTTCTTCCCCTAAAGTCTGAACTTCTAGAGGTACAGTCCTGAGCACCAGGAAAAATTCCTGGATTTGTGATAAAGCCTGGACATAATCCGAAGTCTTTACAACAGTCAGAAAAAATTCCCAGATTTGTGATGAGGCCTGGACATAATCCAAAGTCTCTCCAACAGTAAGAGTTGCATGTTTTCTCCATGACAAATCAGGAATATAACCTATGTCTCAGAACAGGGCTGCACCGCTTTCACATTATAGCCTCCATGCCCCAACCCCACAGTGCATATCAATGACAGGCCCCTAACTAGACACCTTCCAGCCTCAGGCCTACACCTCCTTCTCTTACCCTCACAGGCTGCCAGAGCCCCACACCCTACCTTTTGCAGAGCAGACACCCCAGTGTATTGCTCCTGCCAACAGCTCACTCCTCCCATCCCCAGTCTCTGCCTCCCCTCCTTCCACTAAATCTGCTGTCCCAGTTACATAAGCAATTCCTCCCTCAGATGCTGTATTTCCCATGAGCCCCGCCTCTTCCAGTGTGCACAGACCCATCAGGTTTGGGCCAGTGTCATAGCAGGGATGTGAAGCATCTGTGATAAGGCTTCAAGGCAGAGGAGTAAAGAGGCCACAGTCATTACAGTGGCAGCTAAAAAACGTGGGTTAGTGGGGAGGGAAAGACAGACGAGTTGAACGCTTACACTCAATACAAGTAAAAAGAAAAAGCCAACATCAAATTTAAAATATTTTTTCTTTGAATCATTTTTTTTTTTTTGCCATTCTCCAAGGCATACCCCAAGGGGAAGAGTAAGGTACCTATGGCCAGCCCTGGCTCCTATTACCATCCTCCCAAGGGAGCACAGTTTGGAGAGATGATTCCCACCTGAACACTAATATCTCTTTCATACAAGGCAGTGGAGTGAGGCACAGAGGATCAGACCCCTCCCCTCAGCTTCCTGGCACAAAGGGAGAGCAGTTATACTTAGAAATATATATATATATTTTACATATATATGTCTATAAAAATTTATCATACTTGATCAAGACTATCCCCCCCACCCTTTCAGTTGACCCCAAGGAACAGAATCCTAGGCCTGGGCACTCCCTGGGTCTTCTGGTTCTCTTGCCATTCTGGGCCTAATCAGCATGAGACTTGGAATTTTTTGTCCACCATGCCCTGCAGGGAACAGGCCAGCTGTTAAGAACAGTGCCTCTCTCAGCACTGCAGGAGCTCCAAAGCCCCACAAATCCTGGTGGATGAAGGGAAGTTCTGCCCACCCTCAAGTCCCTGGATTCTGAACCAGAGTCAGATCTTATACTGCAGACACTTGGATTGCCAGGTCACTTGCGCCTGCCAAAGATGGACTTCTTGCCAGGGTTCTTGTCACCCACACTTAAACCGATAAGGAGCCGAGCTTTTTCCTCCTCTTCCTGCTGCTGCATGTTCAGGTCCGATTTTGTTTCTAGCTTTCCCCGGAACTCAGACCCTGTTGCAGGTTTCAGCCTTAGCTTTTCTTTGATTACCTGGCAAGCAGAGAGGAGTAAAAGGAAAGGTAAAAATATTAGAATAATACAAAGTAAACCAAGTCAACCAAGATTTATTAAAGTGACTTGCAAGACACAATGGAGCAATCCAAAGCCTTATAAATAATGGCCTCTGCTTTCCAGAAGCTTATAATCTAATTAGAACTCAGATTCTAAGTCTGAGGTTGTAGCAGCCCTTAGGTTCCCTCAAATTAATGGCAGTTAACATATGAAATAGTAAATATTTAACTATCCTGGGGCAATGTCATGGAGGAAACAGGGAAAGAAGTCACTATCTGCCCTTCCCTTGGCTATTCTTTAATATAGTCTAGAACAAAAGGCTCCTAGGCCTGCAATCTTGCCAACTGCTAACGAAACAGCCACAAGCCCTGGCGGGATACCTGGGCAACCAGAGCTTTTCGGCTGTCTCTTTTGACAGCCATGGCAAAGTCTAGCCAGGTCCACGTGTTGTTGTGGTACTCCAGACAGGGCAGCACCAAGTTAAGGTCACCCCAGTCCACACTGTTCTTCTCACCCTGAAAGAGGAAGAGGGAAGATGGGCAAAGTATCAGCTGCCATTCTGAGTCTACACCAGTACATGAGTATAATTCCTATGACAGTAACCTACAAATAACAGATTTTGATTTCCCCTTACCTCAATCAGGTAATGGTGCTAACTCCTGCAGAAAGCAGAAGGAACAGCAGGTTTGTCACCCAAGGCCCACTTTCACAAGTGGGTCTCCTTGTCTATAATCTTTGATAATTTTCTGGCTCCCTTCCTACTCAGTTCTAGAAAGTGCTGCAGGGGGACCTACCTTGTAACTGACACACAGTGGAACTTGTGGAATTTTTATATAGATGAAGGAGTTGTTCATGGCAGCTCGCTCTTTCATCTTGTCAATATCATCCACCGGGTGCTAGGAAAAGCAAGAAAGGAACATAAACCCCTCAATCATCAGAAGGACCCGAAACACCACTCTACCCTCTCACCCCTGGAGCAGAGACTCAAAACAGAAGCAATATCCAGCCAGGTTCAACAGAAATTTAAGGTCCATTTTTCTAAACTTTAAAAAATTCTCCACTAAAATCTGTTTTTCAATTTGGGGAGTTTCTTTTGCTTTTTTGGAAACAGAGTCTCACTACATAGCCCAGGTTACCCTTGAGCTCATGATCCTTTGGCCCCAGTCCCCCCAAGATTACAAAAGTTGGAACGTCGTTCCTTCCCCTCCACCCCCAGCCTCTCCAAATTTTCTATCTCCAGGGACATGTCCTATACCTCAGGTGATCTGCGGAATGACCTTCTGACCCCAGAACTCCGGGTCAAGCCCTGTGCCACACCCTTCCCAGGGCCAAGAGGTACTGCATCATCTGCTGCTATCAGCTGCCGAGGTTTCACAACCGGTATGCCTATGAAAAAGCAAGCACACCAAGAGTAATCCTTTTCTGAAGCTGCCTTGGGCCACCACTCCATTCTTCTCACACTCCACCATAAAAATTCTTACCAGTAGTAACAAGTTTGGATTTATCCTCTTCATCACCAACTTCATCATCTTCCACATTTCGACCAGGAAAGAAAAAGCCCATCATTCTATGAAAGAACTGGTGTGATAGCTGGATGGTGAGAGGTACTACATTTACCTAAAAGGGAAAAGGTTGAAGAAGCAATTAAGCTCAGACACTAGCCTTCAGTCTTTTTTTTCTTTTTTGGTCTTTTTTGAGACAGGGTCTCCTAAGAGCCCCAGCTGGCCTGGAACTCACTATGTAGACCAGGCTGGCCTTGAACTCACAGAGATCCGCCTGCCTCTGCCTCCCAAGTGCTGGGATTAAAGGCATGCACCACCACGCCCAGCTTTTTTTTTTTAATATTTTATTTTTTTGGTCTTTTTGAGACAGGGTCTCCCTGTAGCCCCAGCTGTCCTGGAACTCACTATGCAGACCAGGCTGGTCTTGAACTCACAGAGACTGCCTGCCTCTGTCTCCTGAGTGCTGGGATTACAGGCATGCACCACCACACCCAGCTATTTTACTTTTATCATTTTTGTTTTATGTGGATGAGTGTACTGCCTGCATGTGTGTAAGTGCACCCATATCATGTAATACCCGTGGAGGTCAGAAGGTGGCTTCAGATCACCTGGAACTGGAATTATAGACAGTTGTTAGCTGCCATGTGAGTACTGGAAATCAAACCCAGGTCCTCTTTAAGAGCAGTCAGTGCTTTTAACCCATGAGCCATGTCTCCAGCCCCTAGCCTTCAGTTTTTTACCACTAACTAGCATAACATACAGCTAGCTTTGAACTGCCCTATGACTCAGGGTTCCCAAGGGAATGTTTACTAACCTCAAAGTGTTCCTTAACAGAGATACCCCCAACAGGTGGCCGGACTTTGCTGAAAAGGCGGAGGGCTAGCTGTCTCCCAGACTGGCAGGAACTCTGGGGCCGTAGGACTACCTGTAGGACAGAGTGAATAAAACTCCACTAAATAGCCTCCCTAAAAATAACCTACAAATCAGCCTAAAAACCTTCTGTAGAAGAACTAAAGCAATGGTCTTGCTAGGCTGGGCAAGTTACACCATTTCAGATCATTTGTTTCCTGGAGTGAGTTGACATGAAAGGACCATCATAAATATCCTTTGCTATGAAGTATGTATGAGGGGACTAGGAATTGGGAAATAAGACTTACCTTAGAGAAGTAAGGGATATAGCTGTGAGTGTAGAGTGCTTACCTACCACATACAAGGTCCTAGGTCCCATCCCCAGTGCCACAAAGAAAGGGGGTTGGGAGAACTTGCCTTATAGACAGCATTGGGGAGAAGGTTGTTCATAGTGAACCAGCCCAACTCCAGAAGATGTTCTGCTGTATCATCAGACTTATTCACCTATAAAAACAGATTTTTGTACTGTTATTTTGAATTTTCTTTTTTTTTTTTTTTTTGGTCTTTTTGAGACAGGGTCTCCCTGTAGCCCTCAGTTGGCCTGGAACTTACTACATAGACTAGGCTGGCCTTGAACTCACAGAGATCCACCTGCCTCTGCCTCCCAAGCTCTGGGATTGAAGACATGTGCCAAGAGGCCCAGCTTTTGTTCTGTTTATCATAAACTTTTCTTCAGAGCTTGCTAGAGAATTACTTGATAACCCTAACCTAATCCCCTAATCCAACCCCCCTCTGATATCTTTTTTCCTCTTTTTTCCCTTAAAATGAGGTCTAATATAGCCCAGGCTGACCTCAAATTCACTATGTATCTGCAGCTAGCACTCTTGATTAAGAGTTCAAACAGGAGTGCAGGTTGTAATTACAGGCACACACCTGCCAACATCTTGTTCAATCTCATATGCAATCATGTAATCAACATACCCTCTAATCCCATGTTTCTCATGAGTAATACTAGCTAAAACACTAACTGCTAGTAGTTCTTCCTAGTTATTGTTAACATTAGAAAATGCTCTCATTTCCAAACATCCCTTGTAATGATTAATAGTCTCTTTCCCCTTGTAGTGGTTAACTGCAGGAAAGCTGACTCCTAGTATCAGAATGGTTCTACCCCAAAGATTACTTTGCTCTGGCCCAAGTTTCTAGGTTTACATCTTTTTTTTTTTTTTTTTTTTTTTTTTTATTTTTTTGGCGGGTAGCCAGTCTTTAGTTACAAAGTTGAAGTCCCTTAATCGTTAACAAATCTAATAGTAACCTTTTGAAAAATCATTATTAATAAAAAACTTAAGTTGCAGGGCTTGAAATACCTCCTAGGAATAATTTTCTTTTTTTCTTTTTTTTTCTTTTTGGGACAGGGTCTCCCTGTAGCCCCAGCTGTCCTGGAACTCACTCTGTAGGTGGGCTGGCCTTGAACTCAGAGATCCACCTGCCTCTGCCTCCCAAGTGCTAGGACTAAAGGCATGCACCACCATACCTCGCCCAGCAGGAGTAATTTTCTTAGTGAAAGAAGCACTTGATTA